TCCGGTGCCGCCCTCCCCTGTGTGCAAGCGGCGCTGTCTCCCTGCAGCAGGACATACTGGGTTTTAGCCGCGTCTGGTACCAGTAGGTAAAAAAGACCTACTCTGCCCTTAAGCCTCTGGCATAACAGAAACAAAAAGCACAGCACTGTGCCCCTTTGGTGGGCATATCGACATGCACACCGACCGCACTGGGTAGAGTGATCCTAAGGGACTCACTCTGTGTCCCAGACCTGCCCCCGCCAGAGCACCTCTGGGCTGCCCCCGGCTCGGCCCCCATGCTACCGGCCCCTCTTCCCCGCCTCGCTATACCTCTCCTCCGTCTTGCTCCCAGCTACTGGACTTGTTCGACAGCGAGGATCCTCGAGAGCGGGACTTCCTCAAGACCATTTTGCATCGCATCTATGGCAAGTTCTTGGGGCTCCGGGCTTATATCCGTAGACAGATCAACCACATCTTCTACAGGTGAGGCCAGGAGCCCGGGCTTACGAGTAAAGCCAGCCCCTGCTGAGGCGGGGTGGGCTCACAGGGGTCTGGGAGACTGAGGAATGCTGGAGGAACATCAGAGGTTGTCAAAAGAGCCCTTCTGCTTCCCCAGGTTCATCTATGAGACGGAGCATCACAACGGGATTGCTGAGCTCCTGGAGATCCTGGGCAGGTGAGAGCTGGGGTGGGGCACTGAGCTGGGTGGGGAGGATGGCGGACGGAGCTTGGCTCTGGCCTGTGGTCCTCACAAACCTCCCTGAACTCCTAGCATCATCAACGGCTTCGCCCTGCCCCTTAAGGAAGAGCACAAGATGTTCCTCATCCGTGTCCTGCTTCCCCTCCACAAGGTCAAGTCCCTGAGTGTCTACCACCCTCAGGTGAGCAGCCTTTCTGGTGGTCCCCAACCCAGGCAGCAGAGAGAAGCAGGGGAGGGTGGGAACAGGGTGGCCCAGGGAGCCAGTGGGGTATTTCCTTCCTGCATCTGCCCTTTCATTCTGGGGCCTTGTGTCTGACACTGACCTCTCAGACCTTCTGAGTCCTGCACCTCACCTTCTTTCTGCCTCAACCTTTTGCAGTTGGCATACTGCGTCGTACAATTCCTGGAGAAGGAGAGCAGTCTGACTGAGCCGGTAACTCCCTCGCGGGCCCCAGGGTCCACCTCTTACTGTCATTGGCGTCCCTTGCCAGTCTGTGCCTGCTGAGCAGTACTGTCAGCAGGTACTCAGGAGGGCTGTGGCCTGCTAGGTGACATGGTGTCCTCCCTGAAGAAGTGAAACCTGCGTACCCCTGATAGATGCCAGCCTGAGGAATAGAGCAGTTAGCTGAGGCCACCCAAGCTGTCCCACCAGGGTGGGAGGGCCGGCAGGAAGATTTCTTCGAGAACGGAGCAGGTGTAGAGAATTTTATCTTCATGGCTCTTCTCCCAGGTGATTGTGGGACTCCTTAAGTTCTGGCCCAAGACCCACAGCCCCAAGGAGGTGATGTTCCTGAACGAACTAGAGGAGATTCTAGACGTCATCGAGCCTTCAGAGTTCAGCAAAGTGATGGAACCACTCTTTCGCCAGCTTGCCAAGTGTGTTTCCAGCCCCCACTTCCAGGTAAGACCCAGGCCCAGCCCCAGCACATCCCAGCCCCCGCTGAAACAGGTCCTGAGTGGAGCCAGCAGTAAGGTCACCGAGTCCCGCCTCTCCCCACTAGGTGGCAGAGCGAGCGCTCTATTACTGGAACAACGAGTACATCATGAGCCTGATAAGTGACAATGCTGCCCGCGTCCTCCCCATCATGTTCCCTGCACTCTACAGGAACTCCAAGAGCCACTGGAACAAGTAGGGCACCGGGGTGGTGCTGGGCCGTGGGGATTCAGGTTTGGAACCTCTCAGGGTGTGCACGAACCAAAGAGCCAGGGGTCTCACTGGTCGCTCAGCTGGTGGGGCTGGTGCCCACTGCATACTGACAGGACCTTGAGGGACTGGCTAGAGAGGACAGGCCACATGAGAGAGCCCCATGATCCAGAACAACAGAGCAGCGGCCTGTATGACATCATTCCTTGGGTCAGCTCTCCCGTGGGTCACCTCACAGCTTTGGAGACCTTGTTCTATGCAGCGAGAAGCCGCTGTGGTCCTCTTAGAGACTGAAAAATCTCAGGGTTGTAGAAAGGCTTTCCTGCTAACAGCAAGCACAGCGTGGTCCAGGCAGTCCGCCATGCTGCTGGGAGCCCGTAGTGTGGGTTAAAGTACAGGAAGTGGTGGTGGGAAAGCGAACCTTGGAGCATGGGATGGCAGGGGGTGGGCCGGTGCACAGTATTTGTGAAGACCATGAAGTGCCAGCCTCATCCTGTGGTTTGGCCAGAGCTATCTTCTTATACAGGGCAGAGGTCTGTGAAATGGGAGACATCCCTAGGGGAAGAGCAACTTGGGGTCCTAGCTAGGAACAGGCTCTGACCTCCTGTACCTCACTGGTCTTCCTTGGGGTGGCAGGACAATCCATGGACTGATCTACAATGCCCTGAAGCTGTTTATGGAGATGAACCAGAAGCTGTTTGATGACTGCACACAGCAGTACAAGGCGGAGAAGCAGAAGTGAGTAGCTCCCTCCCCGGGAGATTTTCACCTTCACTCCCAGCTCCCCTCAGCCTCTCTCTTGCCTGACCCTCTTCCTACCGCCGCTCCCTCAGGGGCCGGTTCCGAATGAAGGAAAGAGAAGAGATGTGGCAAAAGATCGAGGAGCTGGCCCGGCTCAATCCCCAGGTGAGGTTCTCTGCACAGCCTAAGGGACCCACCTTGAGTCGGGCGGGTCTGCTGGAGGAGGAAGAGGAGGCAGAGTGGCTCTCACCTTGTCCCTGCCTCCTCCCCTCAGTATCCCATGTTCCGAGCTCCTCCACCGCTGCCCCCTGTGTACTCCATGGAGACAGAGACCCCCACGGCAGAGGACATCCAGCTCCTGAAGAGGACAGTGGAGACAGAGGCTGTGCAGGTAGAACAGAACGGGGGTGGGTGGAGCATGATTTAACAAGACAGCCTGGAGGGGAGAGGAGCAGAGAGCAGCAGAGTCAAAGGACAGGGGAGGAAACATCAGACTCCTCTGGGACTTGGTCACCATCCCTTGCCTTTTCCTTCTCCCTACGTAGATGTTAAAGGACATCAAGAAGGAGAAAGTGCTGCTCCGGAGGAAGTCGGAGCTGCCCCAGGACGTCTACACCATCAAGGCACTGGAGGCGCACAAGCGGGCAGAAGAGTTCCTAACTGCCAGCCAGGAGGCGCTCTGACCCCTCACCTTTCCACCACAGGGCCACAGCCCACTCAGCCCTGGGACGCTGCCCCAGCCCTCCACCCTCTGCTCCCTATCGGTTGACCTGGGGCAAGGCAGTGCCTCTCTAGCTGTTGTAGGGAGGGGGATGCAGGCACTTGGAGCAGGGATACCCACAAGGGGATCTCTCTCCTCCCCAAAATGTGTTCATGCCTCCCTGTGGCTAGTACAGAAAGGCTGAGTCCTGAAATGCTCAGAGCTGACAACCTGGGGATGCCTGTCCCCCTCTTGCTCCTAACCCCACAGCTACCTGAGGCTGCTCTGAGAAATACACACGGGAATACATATGACCCTCTCCTCTCCCCTCCCTCCTCATTTGAACTCCTGGTGTCTCTCCTCCTCTGGCCCCTGCAGAGGCATGTAGGGAGCAGCAGGAGATTATTCTCACCAAAGTTAAGACAAGCTCCACTGGCCCCTGGAGTGAGAAGCTGAGGGGAGCCAACCCCCAGCAGCACAAGAGGCCCCGAGCCCCAGGACCGTGTAGGCTAAGGGGTGGTATTATTTCCTCTTACCCTCTGCCTGACCAGCACAACATGGGAGGTCAGGTCAGCGGGTGATGAATAAGGGCCCAGACGGACCAAGGGGCCAGGGATGAACAAACACCCTACCCTGTGCCCCCTCTGGTGAGCAGCAGCCCTGGGATCACAGACATGGAAGGGACCACCTGGGGCTGCCTGCTTTCCTATGCTGGTTCCCAAAGCTGGACGGAAGGAAGCAGGGAGCAGTGCCCCCAGCATGGCTCCCCCAACACCTATTTATTTCCTCGTTTGTGCTGATGCTGGGCAGGCCCTCATTTGTCCCTTTTAGTACCTTGGAGGGGCAAAGGGCTGAGGAGGGCTGGACCCAGGTTCCTGGGACACAGGCAGTGCGGCTTTTGGCTGTGTACATAGGGTGCTTTATTCTCCACAGAGTGATACATGCTAAGGTGGGTTGGGCTTGGGCCGATGTCCCCATATGTACAGAACCGAATAAAGTGGGTCTCTGAGAAGTCCGGTTTGCCTTGATGTGAAGGGGAGATGGGAAGATGGAAACGGACATCACAACCGGGAACGTGTTCAGTCCTGTGCTGGTTCTGGCCTGGAATGTAGGGCGGTAAGGCAGCTCTCCGTGTGGTCACTTCCAGGCAGGGGACGCTTGCCGGGCTTGGAGGGCTTTCTGTACCACATCTTCCCACTGGGCATCTGAAATCTCCCGAGCCCAGGCAGGAACCCCTGGTGCAGGCAGGCTTACTCCGGCCATCGTCCTTTTCACCAGCTCTACGTGTTCTGCAATCACAGCCAAAATGAGGGGCTAGAAACAGTGGGACCAGCTCCTCTCCCCATTCTTTGAATTGACCTCAAGCCCTTGGGCTTAATTCAGGTTATTTCTAGGCAAGCCTGCCCGGCCCCAAGTCGAATAGAATAGCATTTCAGCAGCTTCTGAAGTCTGCAAAATCAGTTTACAAACTTGTTAGGAACAGAGTGTTCCTCTGTAACTTCCCTCTACTGACTCTGGCAAGTCTCATTCCTTTGTAATTATTCCAGAATAAAACAATAAAAAGAAAAGATCTTTTACCTGGGTCCATGGGAATAGAGCTGTGGTTGCTCAACGCTGTAGCTCCCTCCTCATCTTCGTCCTCACTTTCTATTGGTGGGTCTGGCAAATGGAGCCCCAGGGCCTGTAAAGCCAGAGAACACAGTTTAAGTCCGGCCTCTCGCGGATAGCAGCTTTACCAGGAGCAGCAACAACACCTGACCTGGATCCGATCCTGGATGTCACCAACTACATCTTCTCCATCCCCCACTGGTGCCAGCTCCACCTCCTCTTGTTCAGGATCTTGGTTCAAGGGCTGGTAGGAGTAGCCCGCTGGGCCTGCCCCAGTGTCCTCCTGCTCTTCTTCAGGCTCCTCACTGCTCCAATCCCCAGTGCCTTCTGCAGGGCCCTGATGCGGCCCCAGTTCCTCAGTCTGATTGGGGAAGATACGCTCAGGGCCCATGGTGTCTCGCCCTAGGACTACTGCTGCCATCCGGGCAGGGGCTGCAGGAACAGGGAAGCAGAAGAGGAATGGATGAAATCTGGCCCACCTTCATCTTCATAGCTCTCTGGTCTCCTGTGCCGTAAAACCAAGGCTCTTCCCCGGAAGTTCCCTGCCCTACCTGGTCCCCCAGCCTCTTTTCTCCCCAAGTCGGGCTGTTATTTGTAACCTGTTATCTGGAACCGGGTCCCATTCGCTTTGCTCTGCCAATTCCTAAATAAACAGCCCGACAGGTTGCTCTGCCATCTCCTTAGAGACACCCCTTCCAGAACCCCGGCACCCCTCGCCACGCCCCCGACTCGGGCACCCCTGGTCGCCAGGCTCTCCCAGTCTGGGTGTACCCGCTCCATTTCCCCTGCTCCTAGGGAATTCCCCCTGTACCGCCTGACAAACGCCCTTCGGGCCCCGGGGGCTCCTCTCAAATGGCCCCAGCTGCGTGGCCCCAGCCGCCCCCACCAATTCTCGGCGCCGGTGTTACCGCGCGCCTCACCCGCTCAGAGCCCGCACCTTCACTTCCGGCGGGGCAGGACGTGCGGGGACGCCTAGTCCTCCAGCCCCGCCCCAGGCTCATGATTGACGCGGGCGAGGTCGAGGAGTCCATCCTTTGCCCCGCCTCCGCCATCCCCTGCCCAACAACAATGGACTACATTACCCAGTAACCCCCACGGTCCCGGCGCACATCTGCACATGCGCAGAGTCTCTCCTTCGGCTCGTGCCCACACCTCAGGCCTCACGTCTCTCTGATAACCTGTGGACTACAAATCCCGGGAGGCCTCGTGCGCCTAGCTCCAACTGCACGTGCGCGCACAGCTGCCCGCCGGAAGGACCCAGCCTGGATGTGTTTATCTCGTTGGAGACCGAGGCGTCGGTTGGCGCGCAACGGGTTCTAGGCTGCAGGCAGCGCGAGGACCCGCGGCCCCGCCCCGGCCCGGCCTGGCAGGTAGCCTGGGATGGGTTGAGGGACAAGGAAGAATTAGGGTGCCTGGGGACGATCATTCCTAGGGGTGGAGCCGTGGGGGAGGGGCTGAGAGTGAGGAGGTGGGGGTGGGGAGGGGACTGGGGGAATGATGGGAAAGGAGCGTATTCATGGGGGGAGAGGGCGAGAAGACGGGAGAGACCTGGTGGCAGGAGAAGGCACTGAGGAAATTGGAAGGAAGACTGGGTTATGACGAGAACTGGGAAGCTGAGCATAAGGGAATGGAGGGGTGTCTGGTGCTGTGGGGGAAGGGAGGTAGGGATGGCTGGAAGAAGGGAGAAATGGCCATGGCCGAAAGGGATCAGTGAATTCGCTTTTCTTCCCTGGGGGGGGAGGGGAAATGGAGGGCTGTCAGGTGGAACTTGCAGTGGTGGGGAGAAGACTGGGTTATGACGAGAACTGGGAAGCTGAGCATAAGGGAATGGAGGGGTGTCTGGTGCTGTGGGGGAAGGGAGGTAGGGATGGCTGGAAGAAGGGAGAAATGGCCATGGCCGAAAGGGATCAGTGAATTCGCTTTTCTTCCCTGGGGGGGGAGGGGAAATGGAGGGCTGTCAGGTGGAACTTGCAGTGGTGGGAAAAGGAAAAATGAGAAAACTACAAAGCTCTGAGGAGATCCATTTGGGCCAGAAATTTGGAGAGTGAAAATCCCACAAGACTAGGGAGAGAGGGAGGTAGATACATTAAGGGAATCAAAGAAGCTTCAGAATGCCAGAGGGAGACCTAGAGGGGCCCCTGAGATCCTGGGGACTTCTCCTCCTTGAGTTCTCAATGTCTGCATTGGGGGAAAAATGAAGATTCTTTCTGCACCTTTGGCTAAGATCGCTTAGGTCTTCTGGGCACTTTTTTACTTTACTGTGACAAATCTGAAGGGAGGAGTGAAGGCTGTGAGAGACGAAGGATTTCTTCTATTCTTAAGCCCTTCAAACCTGTCTCCACATCCCAGATCCAAGATATTTTGGATTGAGAGCAAGAGTAATGA